CATCAGAAACTTGATTAAGGAATATACAAATTAAATATTTGCCCGATAAGCGAATACTTTAAGATATTTATTTATTTTAAATAATTTTAATATATAGAGCAAAATAAGAAAACAATATAAAAATAAATACTAAAAAATATGTGAATATATTATACATAAAATAAATAATAATTATATACAAATTAATTTAATAATTTAAATATAAATAAATCGACTATTATTATATAATCAAGTAGGTAAGCTTTTATTTATTTATTTGCCAGTTTCAATATAAACTTATGAAAATAAACATAATATAATCAAGCAGACCATAAGAGTAAATACATTCGTTCATATATCATGCCAAACACTAGATCAAAAATTGATTTTACTATCAATTCAGTTCCATATGGTTTGCCAGTCGAGTATTCGTTACTTCTAGCATGGCAAATAAGCATAAAAATTTGATTCAACACTTGGTTAACTGTTGCATATGAATATCATTTGAAATCGTTTGAATATGATTTTGTGATTTTGGCAAAGTTTTGCGAGAAAAAGTCAATAAACTATAAAATGTTTATTTATCTCTTACAGCTATTTGCTATCGCCCCACATTGGCACGCATATTTACTTTCTTTTTCGACTGCTGGATATACAGAGGGAGCTCTGCTCTCTGCTTATGAATACTTTATATACACACTCAGTCACTCAGTCACACTCAATCACTACCTCAATCTCTCATTGCCAGGCCGCAAAAAACATTTTCACACGCCATTTGTTGCACGGCGTTGTTGTCACAGATGTTTTTTTGTTGCTGTTGCTGTCCTTTCTGTTGTAGTTGTTGTTGTTATTGCCTTTGATTTCTGGCTGCATGATTTGTTGGCATTGGCCACAATACAAAAATAACAACAACAAATGCGAGAACAACACTCACTCAAACCGAAGAGGAAACGGAAGTGCACAGACAATTGAAGTACTTTTTTGTGGCACGTTGGTAACATTTCAATAAATAGCGAAAACTCCCCGTGCCGTCGACAAAATGTGCAAAAAAAGAGAAGAAAATAATAATAAAATTGGGTGCGTGCTGTTTGCTCAGCCATTTAGTTGCTGTTGTTGCTGTTGTTGCCAGCTGTGTGCCTGTGTGTGTGTGTGTGTGTGTGTGTGTGTCTGTGTGCGATGATGTTTTATTGAATGCTTCCTATGTAGTCGCGTATTGCTTTTTCTGCAACTTTTGTATTCATGAATGCGCCAAAAAATATGCTACCAATTTGTCGCCGTGTGCGATGTTCGTTTGCTGAACAACGGTAACAGCAACAGCAACAGCAACAACAACAGCAACGACAACGACCAAAAAAAGGCCAAAAATCGGGTCTAGAGCGAAGAACAAAGCAATAACAACAAACTGCTGACAGCGGCATTAAAATATAAAGTCTCACTGCGGTGCCTTTCGTTAACAATGTAAACGATGCCTGGCAACGTGTATTGAGCTGAAGTCGGCCAAAATGCCAAAGCCCAACAATAACAACAATAGCAGCTAGGGCACTGCCACTACTGTTGCCGCTGCTGCTGTTGGTGTTGCTGCTGCTGCTGCGGCATTTCCTTTTCCTGCGCCGTATGCCAGCGGCAACAATGTCGGCCTACTTTTCGGCAAACGGCGCAAATATTAAAAAACACCCGAAAAAAAGAGATTCAAGCAGGCAGCAGCAGGCAGCAGGCGGCAAGCAGCTAGCAGCAGGCAGCAAAAAGGGCCAAACGCTGCCAGCAGTTGCATAAAGTCATAAATTTTATTTCACACAGAGTCATTAACACATGACACATACACACACACAGACGGAGAGACACACAATGGCAGCAGCGCCATAACGACAGCCTGTGAACTCATTACAAAAGGCGCAAAAAGGCGTCGGCATAAAAATGTTCAAATAACACACGCAAAAATCACTGCGGCGTATACGTAATATCATATGAAATTTTTACACAGCTCGAAGTTGTTCGCTCGGCTCGCTGCCATTGTGAGTGCCAGCAATACACATGTGTATTACGTGCGAATGTGTGTGTGCGTGAGTCTGAGAGTGAGTGTGTGTGTGTGATGTCTTTAGTCTCTGTCTTGATGTCTTCATCTTTGGCCGTAATTGCTGTCGTCGACGCGCCGCACGTAGACTGCAGGAAATTGCTTTGAAATAAATTTCAATACAACAACAACAGCAACAACAGCAACAACAACAACAATAAGAGCAGTAACAACAACAGAAGATGCCTAAGACAACAACAAATACATTATGTGGCATAGTATGTAGCCAAGACTCAACCATATGTGCACAGCTCTGTCTGTCTGCCCATCTCACATCCACTTGTTCCCATGCTCAAGCAGCCGAGCCACTCCTAAGCGCTCGAGAGCATTCAAGAGCCTCTGCCTAGCTGCCTGCCTAGCCTGCCTAGCCTGCCTGTCTGTCTGTCTGTCTGCCTGTCAGGCCGTCTGGCTAGCTAGCTCTCTTACTTTTACTTTCAGCAGAAGGCGCTGCTGCCTCTTTGTGCCGCTCATTTAATTACATATTAGCAAAAGAAGAGCGAAGCGAAAAAAAGTAAAAATGAAGGCGACGCAGCCACCGAAGGGGCAGCTGTGGCGGGTCTGTTAAGTGGCACAAGCTGACGATATTATAGACATGTGTTTGATGTCTGATTTCTATTTACATTTGCGCGGGTTAAGGCGCAGCTGAGATGGAAAGTGTCAGAGCAGGACAGTGAACCAGCCATCGCCCAGAGGGGAGGAAGGGGGGCCTTGGGCTTGGCATTAACTGATGCAATTTGCTTCGACGAGGAATTATTTGAAGTAAGCGCTTTCAAATTCCCTATACACAATTTGCGCTGCCTTGTTTGACTGGGCCTGCTTGGGTTTGTCTGTGGCAGAGTTTGAGTGGAGGCTTAATCTGAAATTCGTTGAATGCTTAATATTAAGTAAATTGTATAAGCAGACCTCTTTTGGGCCAGCATACTTAATGTACGCAATTCGGCTGAAAATTCATTGAAAATATCCCTGCAACGGTTGCTATTTACATAAATGAATAAATAAATTGCATAAATACAGCCTAAGCTGGTCTTACTTTTCCAACGAAATTTCATTATGACATAATATGCCTTATTTAATATTATTTTATGTATGTTTGCCTTCAAATTTGCAGCAGAAACTAAAAGTTTTAATTTGAAGCAATATTCAAATATTTTGCTTTTCAAGGCAAACTTTTAGTTTCGCAGGCCAAGCGCCTGGCATAATAAATTTAATTGAAGAGCTGTCAACTTTTGCCGTCAGAGACTTGGCTAAATATGCGAATTAATCTTAATTAATTGGCATTGTTTCGCCTCAGTTCGGCTCGCTCGTGTTCGCCACACGCACACAAATACTTACAACTAAAATGTCAAACACTCAGAGAATAACAGAAAAAAGAAGATGACGAGGAAGAGGAAGCAGAAACACACACAAACGCAATAACAAACGAACAAAAAACAATAACCGCAACGAGTTGAAGCCGCTCGCCCCCAATTGGCGCCCCATTTGTTTAGCGCCAACGAAAGCGAAAATGAAATGAAATCAAAATACATGCAGTAAACAATGGGATAATGTGGCTGTCTGCCACGCCCCCTCGTGCGCCCAGCTTATCTCATACTCACCATCGTGCGAATCGTACAGATAAATAATGCTTTGCCAGCCGTAGTACTGTATGGTATCAATAATTGCCTGATGATAATCCGGACGCATGCTGATTGCGAAATCCAACAGGCCTGATGACGGGGCGAGCACCTAAAAGTATGCAAAACAAAGCGATCCATGAGTGGAACACAGCGCAGCTCACACACAGTTGGGTTAGCTCAGGGACGGCAGTGGGTAGTGCCCCCGCCCCCCGCTGGAGTCTAACAATGTAATGTGTACGCTACATGAAGCAATAATAAAATGAAACGCGTTTCCGCTTTGACGCTACCAGCGACAGGCAGCACTGCGCGGGGGTCGTTGGGGGCGGAGAGCGGGGTGCAGGAGCTAGGGGTGAGGGCGAAGGACATGTAAGTCCTGCCTTTTGCCTGGCAGAAAAGCAAGTGCGAGTATATACTCGATATGTATATGCTACAACAAGAGATATGTACACAGAGACCCGTTTCCGTTTAGCTGTACACACACACACACGCACACACATACAACAGCCTGAAGGCGCACGCAAATGCGCAGTCTACTGTGTGAGTGTGATTGTGTGTGTGTGAGACAGAAAGAGAGAGCTGCTGCTGCTGCTGCTTGCCGACGCCATATCTTGATTTATAGTGATTGAAATAAAAGAGGCCAAGAGCGCATCATAAATTTTTTTGCGCTCACTGTGAAGCTGCGGAGCGACGGCACGACGGAACGTCGGAGCGAGCTCGCATTGCGGGCGCTCGTTTGGCATTGTCTTCCGGCTGCGGCACTTTGGGCTCTTTGGCTTTTTGTATTGTGAAGTGCCAGGCGCAGTGACAACAACAGTGACAACAACAGCGCCAGCAACCAGCAACCAGTCGCCTCTGTTGTTGGTAGTAAATTTTCTTCAAATTACAATTATTATGATTTGTGCTTTGCTTTTGATTTAGTGCAGCGTCTGCCAGCCACAACAACAGCTGTATGTGTGTGTGCAAGTGTACGTGCGTGTGTGTTCTTATAGCCACTTTGTGTTATGGCTTCATTTTTATAAACTCTAGCTCAGTGTGTGTGTGTGTGTGTGTGTGTGTGACTGCCCCCAAAGTGCCCGAACTGCAGCTTGATGCTTAAATTAGAAATGTGGCAAGAGCTCAATTCCGCCCCTGACCATGCCCCATTCAATACACACGATAAAGTGCAGCTTTAGCTGTTTAGTGAGCTGTATGAAAAGTTATGGCCAGTAGCTAAGGAAAAGAATAGTCGTCAAGCGGCAAATGCACTTCAAGCTTTCTGGGACCTTTCACAATTGGACTATTGAAGTGTTTCAGGTTTTTGGGTCTGTCAGGCATAATTGCTATGCTACCATAAGCCGGCAACCTATTGACCCAAATTAAATGGTTTGAAATTTCACAGTCTGATGCCACACACAGACACACAGTGAGGGAGAAAAGTGTGTTGACGGAAATGTTGTTCCATCTGTTGTCGGTTGAAATGAAACTCGTTTTATTTGCATTTGGCATTTGGCATTTAGCTACAATGCCCGAGCGTTGCCAGAATAATCGTTTTTGTGGGGCTGCCACTTTGATTGCGCTCAGTCCTCAGTTCGTATTTTGTTAATTTTTCCACATTTCTGCATTCTGGCTTATGTTTTGTTGCATCTATGCCAAATATGCACACGTCAATTTGTTTGTGGCAACATTTTATATCAATTTCCCATTTAGTATTTATCAATTTTAGGCCAGGTCAACTCGCTCATGCTGGCCCATGCAGCATGGCTGATTTAGTTCAACAACTTTCGAGCAAAACAATGAATTCAATTTCATATTCTGTTGACAGTTGAGAAAATATTTCTTAATTGACTTTTATGCCACACACATGACGAAGTCACTTGAATAGCTCTTGAATAATTTGAATAATATTCGGGATATTTCTCTAGAGTCTACAGAGTTTAAGCTATTATTTCTCTGAATAGTTTGTCTGCTCTGCTCAAAGCCAGAATTCAATTGCAGGCATTATCTATATATATAAATATATTTAGATTTTGTATATGTTTCGTTTCACTTAAATTCTCAGCTCGCTGAATTTACTAATTAAACTTTTCCTAGACATTCCTACTCTGTTATTAATTGAAATATTTGGCAATAGACTTTTTGGAACAAATAAATAACTCTCCGCATTCCTGAGCACTAGTGTTAATATGGGTTTCTTTTTAATATTATATNNNNAAGGGTGATTGCAATGCCAGAGCTTCAGGTGAATTGAGCTGCGATTGGAGTGGAGTAGGACTTCAGAAATAATTCCCAATATTATATATATATTTTTTTTTTTTTTTTCATTATTTCTCTAGAGGCTCACAAAACTGATGAAGAGCTTTAATTATAATTTCTCCCACACTAAAGCATTCCACACTCTCACAGAAGCATTCCACATGTTCTCTTTGTTTCATTACAAGCGTTTGCCCTTTTTCCAAGTCCTCAGGCAACTTCATTACTCATCAGCGCACACACGCACACATGCTTAGAAGTATATGTATGTGTGTCTGTGTGTATGTGTGTTACTTAGTTTATTGACTCTCTGCCTTGTGCAAGGCTCATATCACGAGTCGTTTTCTCTTTCTGGGTGGCTGGCGACAAACCACATCAAATGTAAATAACTGCACACAAAATCAATTACGTATGACATTCCTATTTTTTTTGCTTCTTTTGTATTGGTGTGCGGTTGGTGGCATTTGGAACTTACCTTTTCCGGAAACCAGGGCGTCACGAATGGCATTTGGAACGTATTCGAATAGGAGTGCAATGTGTCAAACGAGTCCGGCGATACGGCGCCCAGCATTGAGTAGACTCCGCGCGAGAATTGATTGCAAACTGCAGGTTAAAGCAATAAATTTTTGTGTGCTCTGCTCCTTCTCTGCTCCTCTTCTCCTCTTTTCTCTTCTCCTCTCTTTTTTTTCGGGAAAAGTGAGAAAATAAGAAGAGCAGCGAGTGGAAAACGCGACGGGGCGAAAGGCTGAAGTGGGAGTTGTGCTTGTGTTGGAGCAGGTCACAAAGTGTTTGTGTTTGTGTGTGTGTGTGTGTGTGTGTGTGTGCGGGAGCAGTGTCTAGGTCGTGATGTAAATGAATGTGCGCAATTAAACGGCTGCGGGGCCAGCGTGTGGCAGGTGTAGGACGCGTTGGGGGTCGGGGTCGGGAGCGGGGTTGGGGTTGCAATTTTCAATAAAAATGCGCATAATTAATGCAGACGAGCGATGTGGAGAATGGGTGGGATTTGTCGGAGCAAAGCATTGAGTGAGAGTGCTCGCATTTTATTGTATTTGTTTTCCTTTGTTGTGTGCGTGCGCTTGGGAAGGGAAGTGTGTGGGAGTGGCTGCACTGGGGCGTGGCAACACCTACTCAAGCGCGATAATTTGAATGCATCCGCCGTATTGATGACATCAACGTACGCCTGCAGCTCAAAGCGACGCGCACTGACATTCAGATTGTGATTGAGCATTGCATATTTAAAGGCTGATTGCACATCGTCCGTGCCCTGCTCGAAGATGGCGCCTGTGGGAGAGAGAGAGAAAGAGAGAGAGAGAGATATAGAGACCGAACACAGATAGAGTGTGACATAGTTAGAGAATATAGAATATTTTTGCTTCGTTAAATATTTAGGCGGCTTTTGACACAGTCCTCTTAATATTAAACGAAAGCGCACTGAATAAATATTTACACAAATGATAGTATAGCACACAGACAAACACATACACAATGACAGGCAGGCACTCTAATGCCAAACGAAGTGTTGATGCTGCAATTTTGCAAACTGCGCTTTTGCCTGGCTGGCAGCACCAAGCAGCACCACACAGGACCTCAGCCACAGCAATGGCAGCCGGAGCTGCTGTCGTTGTTGCTGTTGCTGCTGCTGCTGCTGCTGCTGGAGTCCTGCAACAGGAGCAGGTGAGCAGCTTCGCGTGCCAAAGCCAAAGCCAGTCAGCATGACTGTCACATTAGCACAGCGAACAGCATAGCCAAACACCATACGTACACGTACACACACACACACACACACACACACACACACAGGCTGGCAAAATGACTGCAGGCGCTGTGACTGAGGTGCCACAGCGTAATAAAAAATAAAGCAGCGCAGCGCGAAAATAAAATGCACAAAGCATATATTTGAAAACAAAAATGCAGAAAATAACGTTAAATTGTATTGCTGCTCGTGCTGCTGCCAGCTATAGCGGCACAGCTCCAATTATTTTTATGCACTCCACACATATACACATATATGTATGTAAATTATGTAAATTGCGAAATTGATTGCAATTCATCTATAAAACTGATGAATAGTTAAAGCCGGACCCAAAAATGTGAGTCAAATTAAAATAAAGAGCATATTGGTCAATTAAATTAATGCGCTGGAGAAAATTGTAATGAAAATATCATCAATAGTAATTAATTATAAAATAATTACTCAAAAGGCATAAATGAAAATATATGTGATAAAAATAAAATATCTTTACATTAAAATTTTATTTTTAAGAGGTTGGTAAATTAATTTTGTTATTTTATTTTCGTATATTTATATTAAATTTCTTTAAGCCCAAAAAAATGCAAGAATATCACTAAAAGAAATTAATAACCTATTTTATTTCTGAGATTTTCTTTTCATTTTTATATTATTGATTAGAATTAAACAGTTTTTAAAAACAATAATTACTTTGATTTAAAAATTTCATTCATAAATTATTTTCTGAATATTACATTATTCTTATTATGGGCAAATTTTAATCAAAAATAAAATACATTTTTTTGTTAATTTAAGCAGCTTGATACTTTACAACTTATTTACTTTAATTGGTAAAGAGATTTAATTTTAAGCTGCATACAAACTATATATATA